GAGGAAGAACCCTGGGAATCAAGCTCGATGAAACAAGCAAATGACCCCGCTTTGTATTCTAGGGAAATAATAGTACATATGAGGCATCAGGTTCTTCACAGCTTCAGTGCTCTGAGCCACTGTAAAGAGATCTGCACCTGTTAAACCAGATCGCAGTGTAGCAGGAACAGCCCCGCAGTGCCACAGCCAGAGTACCTGAGTTTCTATTTGTTTCCCAGATAGCAGTGCCTGCTATTTCTGTTTCTTAGAAAGCACTGCTCACTGTGACACAAAGCTGGTCACTGTGATGCAAAGCTGGTGACTATGATACATAGTGTAAGAATCTATCAAAGACAGCCGAGTGCTCTACCTCTTACTTCCCTTTTGCAACCTCATAAAATCCTCCCTCCCTGAGACTCTGTGGCTTGAGATTGTTGTAAGACTGATTCCTTGTCACTGCCCATCCATGCAAATAAATCTGCCTCTGAATCCTTTGTGTCATTTCAAAGTTTCTGTTTGCCATAGCAATAGCATGGTAGAAAAAAAAAAACTGAAGACCATTGAAAGGAGAATATTAGCAATTTTCCATGGAACATGCCTTTCAAGGACTGACCAACAGGTGGAAGAAAGTGGCCATCACTTATAAGAGTAATGTTCGAAATTTTGCCCCTGCCCAGAAAGAGCTGTGATTTTCATGAGACACAATATTTGCCCCATTTATAACAACTTGCCCTAAAGGACATTTGTACATTCATTCAACACTTTAATTTTACATTTGTGAAAGAAAAAGAGATTGTTAAAACACTGTCTTGACTGTAGAATTTCATTTTCTCTCCCTTTCTGTGTGTCTTTCTGACTCAGACTAACTCTGTCTCTCTGCTTTGGTCTCTCTCTCTCCCTTTTCCTCTTGTTTTCTCCTTCCCACAGGTGACTCTTACTCCACTGCCTCCAGTGTGGGTTTCTTCTTGTGTCCTGATTTCTGAGAATTGGGTTACCTTTTAGGGCCCAGTCTGTCCTCATCTACTGACCCTCATTTCCTGGTGACCTCACCTCTCTGCCTATATTTGCTTCTCCAGTTCAGATTACTTCCCAGGGCTCTAGCATCTCAAGTGCTGGCTGGAGGTCTGGTGCCATCTCAGTATGGGAAATATTTTCCACAGCAAGTCCTTATTGCCAATTGTCTCCCAAAATCTTGCTTTTTCTGCCTTCTCATCTAAGAAGGCTTCATTGCAAAATCTGTGGTGGCTTCTTTACAAATACAAGGCAGTGTTTTGTTTTTTCTGTCTCAGTTCATGTCCAGGAAGTCAGCAAATATATTCCTTGTCATTTTAAAATATGACCAGGATATTATTACCTTTCAAAAAGCTCTAATGAGGAATTGGAAATAAAATCATGTGCTGATTGGGAATACGGTACTACAGGAACTTTTTAATGTCTACCTTGTAAGCTCCCTGGAAGGCAATGAAGAGCAAACAAGCATCAACTATACCTATTGTCAGAGGCTTCATTTGTCTCATTTTAAATATAAGTTTGAAGATGGTAGTGGTCTTTGATGAGGGGACATGTGAGTTACCTGCCTTAATTCTAGAAGTATTAGTTCTCCATGTTTTGTTTGCCTGTAAAAAGCTTGGAAACAAAGATCCTTGTGGAGACTAAAACCCATATATCTTTGTGAGTGGCAATAGAGAACAGAGGCAAAAATGTCACATAAAATGCAAGTCTAATTGCTGCTAACTGCTGTGAGACATTTTCTGAGAATCTGTTTGCCCTCTTTGCATGGTACTTTTATTCTTTGATATCACCAAACATGGATCTTTCAACTTCTCTCATCCCCAGTATGTGATGAGGCAGAATCACAATTCAGGTGCTCACTTTTGCCATGCTACATTGATGAGAGAGATGTCACAGGACTGGAGTTTCATAGGGGCCAAGATCTTTACTCACCATGGAGTGAGTAAGACCAAGAGCCCTGCATGAAGCATCACTTCCCGATGACCCATTGAGTCTCATGAAGCCCAACATTGCAAGCCCAGCAATGGCATTCTCTACAACTCTAGCCTTCTGAGATGCAGGTAGCTCTCCAGGAGTGACAGAAAGACTGAGATGACAAAGTTTGTACACCATGTCCACACTGGATTTTGACATGATAACATGGAAGTGCAAGATACAATACAAGCCATTGCTAACTTATCAATTATTTTAAGCTAAACTCATTGCAAAAGTGATTTATTTTCATTCTGTTCAATCAAAAAATCGAACTTTTGAAGCTCAAAGGAACCCTTCATAGGCAGTTCCAGCCTTCTCCTTTTGTGTCAGAGCCCTCAGCAGAGCACAAGTGTTTGTTCCTCTGTTGTCTTCCTCACTCTCAGTCCTGGACAGAGCCCTCCACTGCAACTTGTTCTGATTCTTCAGCCTCTTCCTCTCACACAGAGCAGGCTGTGCTGTGCTGCTCCCCAGACAGCAGTGCAGGAGGGCAGCTGGGCCTCCCCAGGCAGGGAGGTTTGCGTTTTGGGCTGTAGCACTGTGGGAGGAACATGTGTACCTTGCATACAGTAATAAACCCCAACATCCTCTGCTTCCACTTTGCTGATTTTGAGGGTGAACTCTGTCCCTGACCCACTGCCACTGAACTTCTTTGGGGTCCAAGATTGCTGATTGGAAGCCATATAAATAATTCCTCTCGGAGCCTGTTCTGGTTTATGCACCACCCAATCCAGGTAGGTGTTTCCATCACTATACAGGAGGCTCTGACTGGCCCTGCAGGAGATGGATGCTGGATTTCTAGAGGAGACAGAGTGGGGTCTGGGTTGTCACAATGTCTCCAGAGGATCCTAAAATAATGATGGAAAAGTTTAATGTCAGTTACAAACATCATGAGGGAGTTTTATACTTTTTTTCTTTTTTGTAAATATCAAGCTTAAATATTATGTCATTTATATAGAATGAACAAATTTGAATTTTGAGATAACTCCCAATATTTAATAACAAGGATTCATCTAAAATTCATCCCTCTATTCTTATCTTTCCCTGAGTCAATCTTAATCAGTTGGTTATTACTGAACCTTTAGAAATTGTCTTAATTCCCTGATGGAAATTCACACATCTTTGCTTCAAGTCAGGGCTGCACATCTCAGGTAGGTACAGAACTCACCCAGGCAGCAGTAGGATCCAGAAATTCAACCTTTCCTCCAGTGCCCCTCCTCGTCTCCCAGTGTTCTTACCAGTGATCCAGAGCAGTAGCAACCCCAGGAGCTGAACAGGTAGCCTCATTTTGAGAAATTGAACTGAACAGTCCCAACCAGTGATCAGTCAAGCCAAGGTAGAGCCAACTTTGATGTGAGACTTTCCTGGGAAGGTCCTCCCTGGGGGTGCAAATTCCCTGATGGGTGCAGTGGTGTGTAAAGTGTGAAGAGCATGGTGTGAGCTTCTCATATGAGCCCAGTGGTGTAAAGTACCCTCTAAATTTGGAACAAACAATAGAGCAAAATCCATGCTGTGTGCAGCAGTGGATACAAGGACCCCTTGGAAAATCTGCATCTCCAACAGGGATACTGTTCTCAGGGCTCTGCCCATCCCAGACAGCACTGCAATCCCCAGGATACAGGGGTGTGTGCAGATCAGTCCCTGGGAGGGGGACTCCTGTGCTTCTAGGCCTCCTGGAAAGGAAAGAAGAAATTCTCACTTGATGAGAAATCATTTGTAGTTTTTTTTATCATTACTAGCATGTAGCAGAGCTCTGAAGCCCTTCTGACCAGGTGAACACTCATCATCTAGAAATAAGATGAGAAACAACATTGCTTGATCTGGAAATTAAACAGCATAAGACCACTAAAGTCAACAAGATATGTACAGAGAAAAAAATATGTCTTCCATCTGGGACCTAGTAAATCTATTGAAGTCAAGACTAAAAAGAAAAGCCTTATGTTATAAGTAGTGCACAGGAAATTCTTCATTAGTAGATTTAGAAATTGGTAAATACATTGTCATGTCTCTCTGTCTCTGTAGATATGTATATTATGATATCTATCTATGCATGTATATATCCATCTATTACCTACCAATTGATTTATCAAAATCTTTCTTAAGAAAAAGATTTCTCTTGACTTTATACAAAATGAACAAGGAATAATATATTATGCTACTCTTTTCTGAGTGATCATAAATCATCCTTCTCATTTCTAGTCTTACAACAGATACTGAGCAGCCATGGTCTGTAGCTTAAAGAGACATTCTAAGTATCTGAATGTCACTATTGAATCTGGTTTTTTAATGTCTGGATGTCATTTGTATTAATGGTTGATACTTCCTGGACCTTATCTACCATGGTAACTATGGAAAGCTGTCAATGTCAGACTTTCCCCACAGCCATGAGAAATTAAGCCATGCTGTTATCAGTCTGTAAGAACACTGTATGTTTTATGACAGTCCAAGAGCTTCAGTGTACGCCTTACACATTTGGGAAAGTGGGTATATGGAAAACTAAGCAAGTAAGGAATTTGTAACGTGTGCTTTTATTGTAAATAAAAGACTCTTTGCATGTGCTCATCATTCTGTGTGTGTGTGTGTGTGTGTGTGTGTGTGTGTGTGTGTTTAAACCTGAGACATTCACAATTAGCTAAAACACCAATCTCTTGTATTTCTTTGATTTTGAGAGTGGGTCTCACTGTGTTGCTCACTTGCCCATTTTTGGGTCCAACTGTCTATTTTCCTTTCTCAGCCACCACAGTGCTGGGGTTACAGGTGTGCACCATGTGTCTTGGGTGATTTTATCTTCTGAGTGTATGTGTTATTTTTGAATACTTCAAGATGTTGAAAAGTTCACTTATTGGACCTGTCTGGACTCTTATGGCCCTATTCTTCATTTGCTTGCAGGAATCAGTAGTAAGTGAAATGGAAGAAAATAAATTTCATTTCCTCAAAATTCTGTGTATTTGGGGGAAAAGCAGTAGAGAAAAAGTCCATGTGGCATCCAGCCATGGCAGGAAGGATCCCATTATACAGGCAGAGTCTATTGGAACACTGTGAAAAGTTCTCTTCCCCAGAAAGAGAAACCACTCCTTGCACACAAATCCTGCTCATCACACCAGCTGTCTGCTAGTGACACTGTGGAGCCAGGAAATGCTTCTACAAATGTCATTTCCAGGTGAGCTACTGTGATGTTAGAAAATGTGTCCCCATAGACTTCCTGGCCCAGTGATTTATCTCCTTATGGGTACTGCTGTCAAAAGAATGGACAGGAACATAAAAAATATTCTTATTTCAGCTAGGTAGGTGACCTGTTGAATGCAAGTGGGGATGGGGAAAATGATTGAGCTTTAGGTATTCAGTATGCAATTCCTGGGCAGTGGTAAATGTATTGCCCTAGTTATTTCCATGCGGAGATGTTAACTATAAGTCTGAATACATGTTAACATGTACATGTGTATATTATAAATATTTATGTATAAAATGTATCCATATTTGAGTATTTTATATTAATTTGTATCTATTTATATACACACATGTTTGAATATACATCTATAAATGAATATGCATTGGTATATATAAATGCATATATGTACACACTCACTTATTAGGTTAATCAAAACTGTTCTGAGCTTAGTGATTCCTTTAAAATCTACCTTTTGGGGGCTTTTGAGGCAGGTTCTCACTTTGAAGTTCAGGCTGGACTTGCATTCACTGTGAAGCCCTGGTGAGGGTCAAGCAGGTAAGCTGCTCACTCTGATTCAGTCAGAAACTACTCACTCACTGCACAGACACCTGAGAGTCTGGAGTCTCTCACCATTCAGAAGCCATGGGTATGGAGAGGATTTCACTGTTACTATCATTACTGTTAAGACATGGCACATAATGATTGTCAGCAGTGTTGTAGTTATTCGCCCCTTTTGACTCACCCTGGATCACAAACTCATTTTATTGTCTGTCTTGCTATTTGCTGGCCAAGTGACATGGGAGTTTCACTCTCTCCAACTGGCTAAAGACTGTGTCCCACTCCTCTGATAAGAAAGTTGACAGGGTTCAGCAGGAAATTAAACGGATTAGTGCCCCTTACATTCTTTATTGTGGAAGACTCTTACAGGAAATCACTAAGCACTTTCATATTACTTTTCTATTTCTACAATAATTTTTGTATGAAATTATGTTTTGAACATGCAAAAGTAATCAGGTTACAGTTCCGCTCAAGTCCATCTCAGTGCTCATGTGACTGAGCCAGGATGCTATCAGGATGCATTCACTCTGGAGGATCTAGGAGGAATCTGTCCCTCTTCACCTCCCAGTGGCATCCCCAAGCCTGTTTCCCTCATCTTCTTGTCTCCCAGCATTTCCTCTCTTGGCCCCTCTCCAGGTCACACAGGTGGGTGTGGTCTCCCTGTGTGCTTTCCATAAGTCACTGCTGAGAATCCTCAGTCCACGGGAATGAAGGGTGTGATTTTGACCTGCAGAGATTCTCCATTACAGTCTTTCAACCTCAGTTAATTAAAACAATTCTGTTTCTGAAAAGCAAAAACTTCCAATGTGCTAAGTGATTCAATTCATGCATCCATTTTCAATTGGAAATAAGCCTTGACTGTTCTTTGAAGCATAGAGACAGTTAAGCTGAGTCTCACAGACCACTTAAAATTGTTGAAGTTCTGCACTAGATCTTCAAGTTGTCTCTGTGTGAAGCAACTTTTCTTTATTTGCTTGGTCTGCAGGTGTTTAATGTGATAACAGATGTGCTGCATGGTACCAGGTGAATCACATGGTGATGTGGGCTGTGCCATACACAGATGTAATGGGGTCACCGAGATGACTGCTTCACCTACACTTGAGAAACCCACAGAATTATGACAACAGGAATAACTGATGTGTACTCTACAAAGGTAAAAAAAAATTCATATAGTAAGACAGCAATTCAAATAGTTTGTGATGTTCCCATTATAGGAAAGCTTGGGATGAGCATGTGAAACATCTAGAGTACTTTGCACAGTGCAGACAGCAGTGAGTCTCAGGTGAGTTTGTGGTGAGTGAACAGAGCACACCCAGGAATGCCTATGGGTGCTGGACCTGCTTTACAGACCAAATAGGTGTTTGAAAACATATTTATACATGTGCCAAAATCAATGGAAATATATATTGAATGTGTCACTTTTCATAAATGTAAAATTTACTCCTATAAACTACTCTTAATAAAAAATAGTTCTGTGATTGTGGATATGCTTTAGCACTGAGATTCTTAAATAACAATACCAAGAAAATTATATATTATGCTATACATTACTTGCCTGGAAAAGAGTTCCTGCTCTTATGTCTGTCTGTTTTTCTAATACAAATTTTGAAGATTGTTTCTCTCAGGAAATTGCATGGGAGATGATAAGTAAGGAATTGAGTATTAGACTCCATGATACCTTCACAGAAATTTTTTTAATTTTTTATTTAAGGAGAAAAGAAAACAAAAACAGTTAAGGGGTACAAGTTATACAGATTTACAGAAGAAAAAATGCGCAGTAGGAAATCACTAGTTAATGGATTACATATTGCCATCTTAGAAATAATTGTTCAAGTCACAAAATTAAAGCTTGTAGAGTGGACATTCCAACAATGATACTGCAAACAGTTCTGTTCAATGATCCAATAAAACTCTGTGATATCATTTTCTATCTTATACACTTAAATATACATGCAGTTATATAGTTTAGAGCACTTTGTTTTCCTCTCTTTTGTACAAAGACTATTACACATTTTGGGTTTCATTGCTCCCACGGTTCTTATTGCTTTTTTGGAAGAGAGTAAAACCAAATGTGACATAACAGAACAGAATCGGTCAAGTCAAAAGGGTGGACATAATAGATAATATAAAAACATAATACAAGGTGATCAACAATGGTTACCATAATGCCTCCCGCTATCTCTAATAGAATTGCCTATATCATTAGTTGTAATACAATTGAACAAAACAGTAAAGAACAAAACCGACAAAACCAAAACATTGGAGACATTGTAGGTCTTCAAAAGTAGATAAAAGTCAAACGAGAATGGGCGTTATAATGAATCTCATTATCTTCTCAGCTGATGCCTAAACTTTCGAACCTGATACTATCCAGTAAAACAGAATAGAGGAACCTCAGTCAAAAACAAGATGGTGAGAGTAATACAGGGCTTCAAATCGAGATAATAGAAAGTCAAAGTGGGTTACTATATTATATCCTGCTATTTTTTCCCTTTAATTAAATGGATAAAAATGAAAAAGTAAATAATGGAGTGGAGATTGAGAAAAAAGAGGGCATAACAGCAAAACAGGGCAGATCAAAACATAACCATTTAAGCAGAATAGTGTTTCACCACCAGATAATTCCGACCCAAAAGTAGTTACCATATTGACTCTTTCCTTGAAGTCCTTGAGTACAACTTTGTATACTGTAGCATTAAGTATATCAAAACAATGTAAAACCATTTAAGAGAATGACAGCATTATAGAGTATTTAGAATCGACTAACAGAAAATGAACAATGGTTTCTGTACAATCTCCTTGTCTTTAAAAGGTTTTTGCTTATACTATCATACATAATAAAATCCAATAAGATACAAAAAGAGGGTCTATATGATCTTTTCTCGTACAAAAAGAGACAGTGTATGCACAGTATTAAATGATGAGGATGGAATATGACCTGGAATCCAGGTATACAATCTACTCAATGGCCACAAAACGTGGGCTCCCAGAAGTTAGCGTTGATGATGTCACTGGAGCTGCTGATTCACCTTAGGCTTGGGTGATGTGAAAGTCTTGATGCTGTCTGAGAGCTGAGTAGAATCTTGTAAGAATTGAGGTCTTTATTTTACATAAAAACTTAACCATTCTGAGGAGTGAAGGCCACAGGTTTTTCCCCTGTGGGGGAGGCGTGGAGTCTACTTCAGACCCAGGCTGATATCCTCAGCTCTTCAACCCAGACATCCTGTGTAAATCAGGGAATTGTTTCCAATGCTGTGTTTTCTCTTTTCAAGGTAGAAATGTGCATTTTTCATGTCAATCACAGAATAATAATGATAAAAACTCTTTTCCTCTAAAAAGAAAGGAAAAGATAAAACCCACATCAAATCAACTCTGATTATTCAGCAATGTCTCTTTGCCCTGATTTATTGTCATGATTCCTATTCCCATACTTGGTTGCCATTCTTAGATGCCTTACTTGGTGTCTGGTGCAGGACTCATGTCCAGATCCCTGTGCACAGATTGAGAGGAGACTGCTCTGTATATGGGTGGACATTGGATCTTTCTTTCTTTCCTTCCTTCCTTCCTCCTATCTCTTGTTATATTGAGGGGTGTTTGAGATAGACCTCAGGACTTCTGCATCCTAGTGAAGTGGACTGCCACGAATTACAACTACACCCTGAAGTTGGAATTTCATGAGCTCTGCGGGTACATCTACTGTGATCTGCCCTGCCTGCTCTCTGCTGTGTAACTGTGTATCTTAGCAGACCTTCTTTTCTCCATGGAATCTCTTTTCTGGGCCTGCTTTTTTACCCATGGATTGCTGAATTCTTGTCCTCCTCATGATTTCATGATGCCTCACTTCCTCGCCAGGTGCCATCACCCTTGCTAATCAGGCTTGAGTTCATTCACCATTGTCACCCTGGCCATGATGACAGCCTGGTGCCTTTTTCACTCAGAAGCCTGGATCCTGCAAGTGGAGGGCTTGCCTCCTGAGAACCTTTCATTACTATTTGTGACAGGAACTGTGCACCATTTTATTCAGGGATCATTCTGTCCTCAGGGCTGGTGTCCTCTTCACAGTGAAGATGTTAGCCTCATATTTGTAAAATTATCCATGTTCTTGGAATCTCTGATTCTTGGGACAGACTAGTATGACCCAAGTGAGTCATTTGCCTTGGTTTTAAAATATAAGAAAAAGCCTAAATCTCAGTCAGTTTTATGAATAACTTTTAATGCAATCCAAAGTTGTGCAAAAACTACCTCATAGGGAAAATTCCGAATTGTATGCCAAAATAAGATCTACAACTGGAACAATAAATATCACTACTGCCTTCTTTATATAGGGGTAATATGATATTTTTAAGGTTATTTGACTGAAGATTTTCCTTGTGTTTCTGTCCCAGGTGTGACCAATGGCTGAGTTGATAGCAGCATTGTAAGTGAAGATTGCAAGATCATTAGAGCTCAAGAGACTGGAGCTTCTGTAACATGGGGAATGGCTTGTTTTCCACATTCGGATGGAGATGGGGGGGTGTGACTGGATTCCAATGACTGCAAGAGCACTGAGTCACATTAAGTGGACGATGAGAATGATGTTGAAATATATGTTTTGTTTGAGTCTACATTCAATATGCAGAATGAGAATAATGGGAAGATTAAATTTCTGGAGCTTCCTGAGATCTCAGTAGTAGTTCTACAAACATCAAAGTAGATCACAGTTGTGTTGTAAGTGTGTAAGGAAAATATTGCTGGAAGTAGTATTTTGAAAGAGAATGAACAATCTGCTTGGAACCCGCAGTGCATGGAGATGACCAGCAGAGGGCAGAGCCGCAAACGTCTTTCAAAGCAACCTTGTGTCCCTCCCACCTGCTCAAGGAAAGCTGATCCCACAGGTGAGACTGTGTTTGAAATACTCTGTAACAATGATCCTCAATGGGAAAATTCCTTTTAGTTTAATATTGTATAAGTTTATCGTTGTAAACTACAAAATCGTTCTTTTTTTTGACAGCAACAATTTTATTTTTAGAGTTCTCCTCTACATGAGTAATTTTCAAAGTCTTTTCAAAATAGCCACTTACATATGCATTATTACACTTAACTATGATTATTTTCACACATTTAACAATAACCATGAATACTGACTGCTTTCCCACATTGCATACATAGGCTTGGACCACAATATGACATCACTCTGATAGTTAGCAATTCTGTCAGCTGAACTCTCACCAAATACTTCTTACATGCATTTACTCGCCAGTGTGAAGGGAATTGTATGTTTTTAAAAGGGAAACACTGCAGCAAAAATTTCAATACTGTTCACATACATAGGTTTTCTCCTTTGTGTACATAATTCACCATTTGATGATGTTTTTGTATGCTAAATGCTATACACTGTTGTTCACATGCATAGAACTACACAGAGGGAGTTCTTTTATGTAATTATAATCTTTCTGGTTTTGGAAAGGTTTCCTACATTCTTTATGTTCATAGGTTTTCTTCCCAGTGTGGGATCTTTGATGTTATAAAGTGAGAATGTATCAACAAATCCATTTACTCATTTCTCATATAGATAGGGATTTTTTTTATAGTGAATTCTTTTTTATACAAAAAAGCTACTACTATAGCTAAAATACATCACAAATTGCTTATATCAATGGAAAGGCTTTATTTTCAGCACTTCTGCATACTGAATGTTTTGGCATATTGGTTGTACCATAGAGGTTCTACATTGTGTGAGTTCTTTCATGAATGATAAGGTGACTGCTTTGACAGAAAGATGTCCCACATTGTTCACATACAGAGGGTTTCTCCCTAGTGTGAGTTCCATCATGTGCATTAAAACAATAGGCTGTACGGAATGCTTTTCCATATTTGTTGCACACATAGGGTTTCTCCCCAGTGTGAATTCTTTCATGAATAATAAGGGTACCATTTTGACTGAAAGATTTTCCATATTGCTTACGTACATATGGTTTCTCCCCAGTGTGAAGTCTATCATGTGCTTCACAGCCAGAGTATGTACTGAATGCTTTCCCACATTTGTTGCGCACGTAGAGTTTCTCCCCAGTGTGAATTCTTTCCTGTATTTTACATGCTGAGGCACTCACGAATGCTTTCCCACATTTGTTGCACACAAAACGTTTCTCCCCTCTGTACATTCTTTCATGTGTAATGAGGTTATTATTTTGACTGAAAGATTTTCCACATTGTTTGCTTAAGTAGGGTTTCTCCCCAGTGTGAATTCTATCATGTGTGTTACAATCTGAGGCTCTCATGAATCTTTTTCCACATTTGTTGCATACAATAAGTTTCTCCCCAGTTTGAATACTTTTATGTCTTTGACAGCTTCTGTGTGTACTGAATGCTTTCCCACATTGATTGCATTTATGTTTTGTTATCCAGCATGAAGTTTTTAAAGGATTTTAAAGCAATTACTGTGAGATAATGCTTTTGCACATTTCTCAGTTATATAATATTTCCCTCCACCATATTTTCTAACATCTTTTTCAAAATGGTATGAAGAAATAAAACTATTCTCATAGTGGTTTTGTACATATGAATTCCCCAAGCAGTGATTTCTTTCATGGATTTGAACACTGTTAGGTAATGCACAGACTTTCAAACTTTTCTTACTTAGAAAGTTTTCTGCCCAGGGTGAGTTTGTTCACTAAAGTCAGAGCTGTCCTCCTCACATTGAACATATTGACAGCGTCTCTCTCCAGTCGTCTTTACTTCATGCTTCTGAAAGGACTCAAAATCATTGCAGATCACTATATCTTCATTATGTTTATATTGCTGTTCATCGTCTGTCAAATAATTGTCTTCATCATATCTTAGATTTCTTGAAAAAAATGTCCTCTTCTTTAAGTTGCTGATTATGCCATATTCTTCCATTGTGATGCTTGAGGGTTTCCGAGGATGCTTTGCAGGCCTCAGTAAGAAGTCACAGAAACTAGAAGTGCGCTCAGCTCCAGGCTCTCAGCACCAAACTCGTAGTAAGCACTTCCTCACCACAAAATCATTCTTAAAAAGTTATTTTATCTCTGGAGTTAGGGTTAAGGTTAAGGTTAGTGTGCAGGTTGGAGGTCTGATGGAATCTCAAGACTGGAATTTGTTCCAGTCCTCACTCTCTGTGTTGCTTTTGTCTCCCTTCCAGACTAGAAGACATCAATGAAAATTCTCTTGAAGTTCAGGTTTGAATATGTGGCACTCAGCCTCAGTTTTGCTTTTTCTCTCATATCTCACATTCAGTATGTCAGTAAGTTTATTTGCTGTGAGTTTAAAATACGACCAGAATCTGTCCATCGTTCACCACATCTACTTCTAGGTCAGAAGATCTCAAAGGTGAGCACAGAAACACTGGAAAAGAAGCAGCGGAGGAGACTCTTGAGACGTTTTTGTATTTATTTTGTGAGATTAGATGAAAGGCCAAGAATAGTGCACCAGATATCAATTGTCCCTTTACCAAATTCAGTTTCCTCTGACTCTCCATTTAGCTTTATCTTTTTTTTTAAAATTTTATTTAAAAGAAAAAAGAGAAAAACACAAAACAAAACAAAGCGGTGTAAGGGTACACATAATACAGAACTAAAAAAAAAAAAGTAAGAAATCACCTGTTAATAGATTACATATTGTCATCTTAGAAATAGTTGCTCAAATCACATTATCAAAGATTACAAAGTGGACATTCAAACAGAGAGACGCAAACAGCTGTGTTCAATGATCCAAAAACATTAATATAGTCAGCTATTTAACACCCCTAAACATACTTGCTGTTATATCCGTTAGAGCTCTTTTTATTCCCCTCTCTTTTTTACAACAAAATTTACACATTTTGGATTTTATTACTCCTTAGTTCTTATTACTTTTTTGGGGGGGAGAGAATAAAGTCAAATATGGCAAAACAAAGTTGTCAGTCAAAACCAAGGATAGACATAGCTCATGATGTAAAACAGAGTACAAGGTTATCAACAATGGTTATCAACGATGTCTCTTGTTTCCTTAAAAAGAATAGTCTATCTCATTAGATATTATAAAGTTGGACAAAACAGTAGATAACTAGACCAATAAAACTTAGGCATTATAAACATTACAGGACTTCCAAAGGAGACAATAGTCAAACCAGAATGGGCATCTTAGTGAATCTTATTGCCTTCAAAGTAGTTGCCTATACCCTCAAACTTGATACTATCATACAGAATGGAACAGAGTCTAATCAGTCAAAACAAGATCGTGGGAGTATTACAGGACTTCAAAACAAGTTAATAGGAAATCAAAAAGAGTTACTATTATATATCCTAATTTTTAAAATTTTCCCCTTAATTAAAACAAACATAAGAAATAGCTAAATAAGTTTTTTAAAGAATAAGGGAGAGATTAAGATAAAACAGGACATAACAATATAACAATACAGGTCAAAGCATGACTGTTTCAGCAATCTAGTGCTTCACCACCAAATAACCCAACTTAATAGTAGTTACCATAGTGTCTGTCTTTTTCCTTGAAATATTTGGATAAAACTTCATAAACTATAGCTTCAAATATTTCCATATCAAGAAGCCCAGAATAAAGCCTTTCCAATTAATAAGTGAAAACTTTATAAGGCTTCAAGGCCACATAATGGGGAATCATGAAAATCCTTTAAGACATTTAGCTTTATCTTAAAGGATTTTCAAAGTAATTTTCACAGTCACTAAAAATTTACTCACTGTCATGAGGTGGAGGAATGAGGTGCATCTGTTAATCCTAGAAGTAGTAGGCTGAAACTTTTTTTTTTTTTTGGCCTGAAAAGCCTTTAAAAACCTTTGTGAAGACTAAAATCTTTCATATCTTATTGGGAAATAATGGAGAATGGAGGCTCCAATTAGCCATAATATTTTTTTGCAATTTCTAGCAAATGCTTTGTGAGATTTTCTGAGAATCTATCTGCCCCTTTCCCATAGCAGGTGAATTCCTGGATCTCACCCAATGCAGATCCTTCTGATTCCCTCAGGTCATCACCAGTGTGAAGTAAAGCAGAGTCTCATTTTGGATGCTAACCCTAGTCTTGCTGTACTGATGAGCAAGGTGAGAGGTCACCAGAGTTTCTTTAAACTGGGATATTTATTATTCATGGATTCAGTAACCACTGAGAGCCCTGCATCATGATCCATGTAATGGCACAGGGACCAACCTTGGAACCTTGGAAGTGATCGCTCACCTCTGCCCTTGTGAGCTGGGAGCAGCTCTCCAGGAGTGACAGGCAGGCTGAGGACAATGCATGGCTTATAACCCCCTACTGCATGGTGACATGATAAGAGGGCAGTAAAAGATAACCAAGCCTTTAAAAGATTTCCATCTTATGATCATTTGCAGCTAAATTCATGTCTGTGTGTTTGTTTTGGTTTTATCTAGTTTCATAAGGGAACAGAAGTTTCAAGGCCAAAAAACAAGTGGAGTCAGCTGCATCCTTCTCCCTCTGTGTCAGAGCCCTCAGCAGAGCCTAGGTCCTGGCTGCTCTGCTGTTTTCCTCACTCTCATTCCTTGGCAGAGGCCTCAGCTGCAACCTGTTGTTCTGACTCTTCAAACCCTGCCACTCACACAGAGCATTATGCGCTGTGTGCTCCCCAGACAGCAGTAAACGAGGGCAGCTGGGCCTACCCAGGCAGGGAGGTTTGTGTTCAGGGCTGCATACTTTGGGAGGAGTGTGCCTGGCTTGCACACAGTAATAAACCCCAGCATCCTCAGCCTCCATCCTGATAATTGTGAGTGTGAAATCTGTTCCTGAACCACTGCCACTGAACCTGTCTGAGATGCCAGAATATTGGTTGGAAACCTGATGAATCATGCCTGTTGGAGCCTGGCCTGTTTTTTGCACAACCCAGTTCAAATAGGTTTTT